AAGGCTTGGGGCATGGTACAGGGGTGGTTGGAGCCACACATAGGCCATAAGGCTGGGGTACACAAAACACCCATTACAGAAATGGGACTAGCAATAGCAGGAGAACCGTGGCCAAGAGGAGGAAAGACAGCCTCCCTCTATTATATGTAAGACCAAAGACGTGGTGGGTGAGATTTGAGGGTGCTTGTTGGCAGCTTGGCACAGTGCAGAGGGCAACTAGGGGAGAGCACGGCGACCCTAGGGTGCCCCTCCTGCTATATGCCACAACACCAGAACTCTCTTCATAGTTGGTTTTGCTTTATTGAATTAATGTATTTCTTTGGGATCTCTAGGGATTCATAGATTTTTTAGACCAGAGAAGGCCATTATGATCTTCTAGTCTGACCTCCTGAATGAAACAGGCCTAAAAACTTGAACCCAGTAATACTTACATCAAACTCCTGAATCCTGTTGGAGATATCAAATCATTTGCGGAAACATCCAGTTCTGCTTTTAAAGACTTCAAGTGATGGAGAATGTAGCACCACCTTGCGTAACCACTTTCATTTATTAATTACATTTTCTAAAAATTTGCACCTCATTTCTGGTCTAAATCACCAGCCAGATCATGGATTTTATTTTGTCCAGGGACAAACATCTTAAATCTGTGTGATCTAAATCACCAAATTTAATCATTATTTAAATCAGCAAGAAGGCAAGTAAATTAAGATTTAAATTCTCTCTTTCTACCAACATAAAAATCTCAGTTGAACTTTCTAATCATGTCCCACAAGAAAGATCTATTCCCGGTGGCTGATATACTATTTAATATGTTGATTTCCAAGTAAATATAATCTTTACAGTACTACATTTAGCACTTCTTTTTGTAAAGCAGGAGGATATTGCATATCTATACCTGCTTATTAAAGCAGCTACATAATAAACATTTCACAGTCTCCATTTTCCAGTTTTATTATATCAGAAAGTGCTAAACAACATTATTTACTAGGCAATAATTCTTATTCATTAATTGTTTCAAGTGGCATTTGGACAGAAACTGAAATGCAATTAAAATGCACTAAAGCAGCATTTTAAAATTGCTTTTATTAATGAAATAAAACTACCTTAACTGTGCTGGATACATAGGAGAAAATATCAGAATAAGCTTTGGTCTTAAAACTGATTTATCAAACAACAGAAAATATTACCTACAGCTAGTGAATCGGTGTTGGCATGGGCGGATCAAGAATTGCAACAACAGGGGTATAACCACACCCCATGTGGCTGTATGATGCATGTACAGTGAAGAGAACTCATTGTACATGTGCCACACAGCCAAAGGGGCCACAACCCCTTGCTGTGATCTTGGATGCCAGTTTGCTCTCAGAGTTCACTGGCATGTCAGTGCGGCTCCTGCTGTGAGCTCCACACATGCTGTGAGTTGTATGAGCTCATCAGCATGGCCTCTGCCGGGAGTCCCTGCTCTCAGCTCCAGAGACTGCTGCTGTTTGCTCTTGCCATCTATCCTCCCACACACACACATTCCACCATCCTGAGGACCTGGCGTACCCATTCCTTATGAAGCCTTGCACGGGGCACTTGAATGCCTGGAAAGAACTGTCTGTCTGGAAAGAACTGACTACCAGCTGGGCACCTACTGCATGACCATCAAGCGCATCTTTGGGTGCCTCAAGGCACAATCAAAGGCATTTTGAAGGCATTGATTGCACACCTGTATGTCACTGAGTACTGCTTGCCTTGGATTGGTTAGATCCATCTGCATCCTTAACAACATCTGTGAAGATTGATGGGAAGATTTCCCAGAGGCCTAAGTAGAGGAAGCTTAGTGCTTTGGGGGGCTAATACACACCACTGGAAGCCAAGCTTCTGGGATGCAACAGGGTTTTGTTGTTGGGGGTGCTCTGGCAAACTACTTTGAGTAGTGCTAGGCTGCAGAGCAGGAGGCAGCATAACTAAGGAGTAAGCAAGGCATGGGATGTATTGTGATTCTTTCTTTGTAAGCCAAAAGAAGTTTTCGTTAAACAGTACAGTCAAAATCATGAATTGTATAAAAAGAGCTTTTGCAAATTGAGGGTAGAGAAACCTGGGGATGCAGTGTCAAGGAGGATTGAAACGCTGAAGGGATAGCAGATGACCAAACAGTAGAGTGCCATGGTGGCAAGTCTCTACTTTGATCCAGCAGGCTGAAAGGGCTCAAGTCCCAAGCTGCTTGCCCCCTCAACAGACAACTGTCCCAGAACCTATGAAGTGGAGGGGAGTTGCTTCGGGGCCCTGACTCCCCTGTGAAAGTTAGGGTCCTGGGTCTGGAACCCAAGTAGGGACTAAAGAACTAGAGATAAGGTGTGGGGAGTTCTATGGGCCTGGTCCAGCTGTAAGAAGGCATGTCTGAGTTGTGGTTAGGATTGTCTGCCTGCTGCCTTGGATTTTGCTTTCTGGTGAAAGCAGAAGGAAGCACTGTTCATAAGAACTCAAGGACCAGAAAGTGATATCGTGGGTCTGTGTGGACTGAACTCTGGGGAATAAAGGCCTACCCCTGGATAAGGATTTAGGGGTACTGCTGGTGGCAACTCTGGAATGAGGTTGTGGCTTTCAAATGGTTAGGTAGATAGGTGATCCAGAGTGCTTTTGAAGGTAGCCTTTGGACTTAACTGGGGTGTAGTACTTTGAAGCTGTTTCTGGTAGCTCTGACAAGTGAGGTCCTGAAGGATGCCGCTGTTGGCGTCAGCGCACTTGAGCCTGTGCCATTAAGTAGTTTCTTTGCGGTCATGTTGGGGTTGACATAAAAGCCCCGTGTTAAACTTTTGTGACTTTATCTTAAAGTGATTTACTCCACAACATGTGTCCGCTTCCCATCTCGGGAATCTCTGCTTTTGTTATCTGTTCCCAAGATAAGCAGGGAAAGGTGGCAGGCCTTTTCCACATACACTTCACCCCCTGAACCTGAGCCAGTCTTGAGGTTCATGGTAGCTTTTCAGTTAATGTGGGTGTTTCCCCAGACAACCCCTCCACAAGGTTCTCGACTGTCCTCTCCACTTGTCTTGCTGAGTGTGAGGGATGGGAGTTAGTTGTAGCCACCTTGCTGGTAAGGATCTACATCAAAGATTCGCTGCATTGGCTGCCCTGAGTTTCCAGAGTGCCTTTTTCTATGCTGTCTCCTTGCTCTTGTGACCCTGTGACAAAGACAGGAGCTGTCAAGAGCAGCTGGGGTAGCCTCTCCATATATGTTCTCCTATTGCCAAAGGAGATGGACCTCCTGGAGAGAGTAAACCTACTTTGGTGGCTCTTGGGGAAGAAAAGGCAGTCTTTTCAAATGAGTGCTTGGTAAGGAAGTTCTGATGCATGTAAACAAGCAATTGGGAATTGATAAGGAGCCCCATCAACTTCCTTACCCAGGAAGCGTGGCAAACAAAACCCGTGTGCTGACTAAACACCACACAGGACCTACAGGTTCAGGACATCTCTCCCATCACAGCTGCAAGTTTCCAAAGGAGTCTGGTCACCATCCCAGCAAGCCCTCTCCATGGAAGCATTTGATGGGCTACAGTTTAATTTCATTTAAAAGAAAGTCTCTGTTTGAAATATTTATAGGGTTGGATATGGATATATGCTCTTGCATTAGCATTAAATTGTAAGATTTAATCACAAATGGTAATTATTGCTCAAGGTTATAAGCACTTGAACACAGAAATTTACAATGAAAGCACTGTTTTAATGTGATTGGAGTTACGATAATATAGTACATGTGTACAGTGTGTTGGTGACTAGGAGTCCCAATTGGGTATTGAGTTTCTATTTTGTTAAACACTGCTTTCATGCAAAAGTTTCACTGTCTTTGTATGCCTTTTTTAAAAAGTTATTCATATGAATAATATTCCTAAAATATATTATGAATGCATTGTTCTAAGTGTATTCCACTACTGTTCTTTAGTAAGAAATGTAAAAAAAAAAAAAAAAAAAAAAAAAAAATTGTTTTAGTCTAAAAAAAATCAATTAAAATCTGATACTATAAAGTTTCACATGGAATGTTTTGCATATGTCCTTTAATTCATCTTGAATTCTACATTGAATTCATAATACCTGATAAAGATTTGTTTTTGCTGAATATTTTTTTTTTTTTTTTTTTTTTTACTAGGTAGCATTGGGGTTTTTTAACTTTTTCCTTCTTTCCCTGCAGGAAAACCAGCAATTGCTCACAGAGATTTGAAATCAAAAAATATATTGGTAAAAAAGAATGGGACATGTTGTATTGCAGATTTAGGATTGGCAGTAAGACACGATTCAGCAACTGACACAATTGATATTGCCCCAAACCACCGAGTGGGCACAAAGAGGTATAACGGTGTATCAAACTATTTCTTCTCTTTCTCTTCTTCCTCTTTAAGAGATGTATAGTGCAAATGACAACAGCAGGAACTTGTGAATTACAGCAGATATGGTTCCTCATAGACCCATCATTACCAGCTGATGAGTCAGTGAAAAGTGCATGGGTCTTGCTGGCTCTGGGCCTTTACCACATTATATATAGAGCACTGTAAAAAATGCTAGTAGTTACAGTCTTAAACCATAAACTGGGTTATGGCGCATCAGTATTTATGTGAATTATAATCCTGCAGATTATCATACAATGATATCATTGCATCCAGTTTCCCAAACTGTTACACGATTGTTTTAAGACAATCATGAAGATAAGACGGGGTAGGATATATAGACTGGAAGGAGAAGGTTGAACTGACCATATTGAGGATGTCTAGGTGACCATAAGGAAATCTGGGGCACTTCCCCCGTACCTCCCCCCTGCCCCCAGTCAGTGGCACTGCTGCAGTAGCAGAGGCCAGTGGGCAAGGGTACAGGTGCAGCCCAGCAGAGAGACGGAGCTGCCTGGTGCACCATGCCTCTGTGCCTCCCTCCCAGACTGTACCCCAGGCCCCTGTAATTCTGGGACTCTCATTTTTAATTTTGACCAACCAGCTGGGACCAGCCTAAAAATTCAGGGTTGTCCTGGCCAAACCAGGATGTGTGGTCTCCCTAAGTATATGGTAAGTGAATGGTGCAGAATAGGGTACTCAGCTCATAGGAGGTCTAAGACCTTGATACAAGCAAAGTCCTATATGGATGTAGATGCATAGGAAGTTGCTTGTGTATTTTTTTTCTTAGAAATTGAGTCAAAGAAAGTGATTCTTCTGCTGCCTTCAACTCTGGTGTGACCTCATCTTGACTACTGTGTCCAGATTTTGGGCACTATTTCAAGAAAAATGTGCGTGAATTAGAGGCAAATGGGAAGCAACATCAGTGTTTAGAGGTCCAGGAAACATGATTTATGAGAAAAGTTTGAAAGAAAAGGGAAGATTTACTCTGGAAAAGACTGGTGGGGGAGGGAATTTTATAACAGTCTTCAAATACATGAACAATGTTTAAAAAAGGGATGTGAGTAAGCTGTTCTTTGTGGCTGCCTAGAACAGGATAAGAAGGAACAGTCTTAAATTGTAGCAAAGGAAATTTAGGTTGCATATTAAGAAGAACTTCTTAAGTATGAAAGCAGATAAGCACTGCAACAGACTACCTGGGTGAGGAGTGTGAAATTGCCATCCTTGGAAATTTTTAAGAGTGGGGTTAGATAAACATTTGTCTAGGATGGTTTGGACAGGGACAATACTGCGATGAGTAGGGGATTGAACTGGATGGCATCCTGAGGTTTCTTCCAGCATTGCTTTTCTGAGTACAGTGTGAATTGGATGCTGCCATGACCTAAGGCTATTTTACTCAAGAGAATATGCTCTTAAGTAATCACTTTCAGGGAATTTCACTTTTAAGGATCAATTTTAATGTTTTAGTTCTAGATTACAAAATTATTTTAGGAAATGAAAAATTATATTGGTCCAAGACTGTTCTATCGTCATTCCTTGTCTAGGGTTAAAACAGAAATATTGCTAGATAGGAAGTTTCAAAATTACTGGTACTTCCATTTCATGACTAGTTAAGGACAGAAATCATGCCTGAGTGTTAGGCAGTACATCTCATCAGAGTTCATAAGCATATGCCAGCCAAAGGTAGTAACATTTAGTGGTTGATAAATCTGATGTTGAGACATTTTAAACCCAGTTACATGCAAGAAATCACAGAACTAAATATAGTGGTATATTTCTATCTCCCAAAAAGAATAAGTCAGTTTTTCCCAAAGACAAACACTTGAAAGAAGTAGCTGCTTAAGGTTAGTCTTTGGATCCTACAGAACATGTGCAAGGGCCTTATACTTATGGGCTGATATTTTGAATAGCAGTCTCTGTTGGGTTTTGCATTTTGTCTGCATCTCTTTTCCTTCAGGTTTTTGCATGGTTATAAAAAACAGAGAAGTTCTGACCCTCCAAGACCAGCTCAGGGAACAACTGATCCATTATTCTCTTCAGAGATCTTAAAATGGGTGTTTTCCCATTTTATCTTCTTTCTTTTTTTTTTTCCTTTCAAAGGGCGGGGTTCCTTTAAAAGTCCCTTTGTACAGTGACTTAATTCCCCTCAAGAATGTACACTTCCTCATGTGCATTCCTCTTCTGATTATGGATCAGTAATACATGCAGGTTTCTCTACCACATCTGCAGGGTCCAGGGCATATGACTTTTTCTGAATTTTATCCAATGACTCTGTTGTGCAAAATACAGGAACAGTTCTGAAAGCAAAGACTGGAAACCAAGACTTTCTCTTCCCATGTGAGTGCCCTAAGCATTAGGTTTCTGAATCAGGCTGCTCTTTTCTTCTAGTTGGATGAATCTTGAATTCTTATCTATGCTACACGGTGGCACACTGCCAACAGAAGTATTGTCCTAGCTCATAGACTGGTGGTTACGGTACCTTCTAGAATATCAGAAATGTGGATTTGAACCCTGGAAATTCAGAGCCCTCAGGCAAGCTTTCAAGGTCTCTCTACTCTTGTTTCAAAACTCTTCCATGCAGATCCAGACAGAGCACCTTATGTAGTGCACTGCAAAGCAAGGAAGGCAAACGTTCCTCTCCACTTTGCCTGGAAGCTGTAAAACTGAGGACACGTTGCTTTCTAAGAACAAAGGATGAGACTACTCATTGTTCCCCATGTCTTAGTAACCACCTAGCAGACTCTGAGTGATTGATCATGAGTCGCAAGTGGTTTCTGTGGAAGTTTGAACTGATATTCCTATACTGGTGGAACCTCAGTGAAAAATGTGTTCACCACCAGTGTCAGTATTCAATACCAGAAGTTTTGTTCAATATTTGGGTCTGATTTCAGAACTGTAACCAGCTGTCCACATTCCGCAGTGATCACACACTCCTTATATTCTTTCAGTCAATTCCTTTGACACTCAAAGTAAATTCCAAAATCATGAAACAAGGCCATGTTCATTTGCAAATCTTTGCACTACTTGGGACACTTTTTGTTGACAAGCCTACTGCATACACCAATCCAATCTTCAGACCTGACCCTGCAACATTATGACCAAATTCTCTACCCGAGCCAGACATAATTGAATGTCACAGAATGGTTGGTTGGTTTAGTAGCACAAAAAATGATCAGTCCTTTCTGGTTTGCAAAATACACTTAAGAACAGGAAAACATCTACCAGAAGAATGTGTTTCTTATGGTTTTAGCCTGGACCAGGTCTTTTTGCACTTGAAACATGTGTGGTTCCCTATCTAATTTTATTAGGGTCTGCCTCATGGTGAGTTTTGGCTTGCTATACTGTTGTACAGTCACACTTTCTTTTCTCATTCTGCAATATCTGTGTTTCTTAGAGGGCAGTTATACACTTTATCCACTAATCAGAATATTTAATCCTGCCTGGGATCTCGCCCTAGTTCACCTGAACGCTCATGGAGCTCTGTTTCAAACCTCTGTTGATCTGCTTCCTGCACCATCACACTTGTAAATGCCTTGCAGATAGCCATTACTTCAACCAGGAGTGTGTCTGAACATTAAGCCTTTTTGGCCAAACTCTCCGTGTGAAATTCTGAAAGGTAGAAGGTAGTGCTGAGACCATTCCTGAAGTGCTCTTGAGTGTTCATCTAAACAGTCAGCTTTAGCTTGCTTTCCACACCTGGCACTGGGAGAAAATAAAATTATTTGGTGTACATACAATTTTGCTATATGAACTTGAAAAGACGAAGTCATTCACTCTTGCCCCTTGTGTTAATACCTATAGTTGGATGTTCAGTAGTTCAAGCCATCACCTCATTGAGAATGTTGGAATGGCTAACAGTGTGTTCTACCTTGCTATCAGTTGATTGGTTTACCTTTTATACTAATCATTAAACCTTATTCAACTAAAGCTCAGGCAACATCATCTTCTGTCTCTTTTGTAATGTGTCAGTTTGAGATCTGAAAGGCAGGGATGTGGAGTAACAAATTACATTGCCAAGCATTATGTTAGATTTAGCTGCCAGTGCTGACAAGTTTGGGAGAGTGGTGCAACAATGGAAGCTTAACTGGTGCAACAGATGTCCCTCATTCCCATCATCCTTAGTAGTTAACACTTCCTAGTTATTTTCAGTGGGTTTTACATTGACTCTTCCTTGAAAAGAAATAGTACCTAATCACAGCTACTGCAAATTTATTCTAGATGTTGTGGTCCAGGGGTGACCAGCCTGCCACTTTGTGTGGCACATGGCAGATCTGGCAGGGAGAACAGCAGCAGATAGGACAGGCAGGAGAGAGCAATGGATTGGACAGAGGAAAGGGGTCATAGTGGCACCTGGGGAGAGAGGGCAGAGCTTACTTTTGAGGCATACCTTCTAAAAAGGCTGGCCACCACTTTTGTAGTCAATGTAGATCCGATGACCTGCCCCCATCCCTGTTTTTTTTGGTTTTTTAAATCCAAAACTAGCATAGGCTTTATATAGCAAGGAAACTAAGATTGGTATGTCCACTTGTACTTTATGCCCTTTTAAAGGAGTATAAGTTGGCATGGGGCACCTGCAGCCCAAATGGACATTGTTATTAAAATATCCAATCTTATACATACAAAGCATTGTGGTTTTTTTATGGTGAACTCCACACTGATTTACATCTCAAAGAACCACTTTAGAACCATATCTCAAAGAACTTCAGTGGTAAGGCGCCTTTTTCCATTCCTTTCTCCAACCTTGCCCCCTGAACCCCATTTTACTTCCTTCCCAGTATTTCCAGGAACCCTCCAAATCTCTCTTCCTTTCACCTTAAATGGTCTAGGGATTATTCCTATCTCCACATTCCTCCATTCTCTTTGTTCTCCCCAAAACCAGTCAAAGACCCAGCATTGTAAGTGCTGATGTGAATTGCTTCTACTTGTGTTTTAGGTGGGAAAAACTGCTGCTACCATTCATCCTTAGTGATCTCTCTGTTGGGTGATTCAGGTGTGCTGCTTCCTCTCACTTCTCCCACTCTGTGAAGACTTCGTGGGTATAGGTCTCTGCTCTCAAAGTGGCATTTATGAGAATATAATACTTGAGGACCATGGTGGATTTGTTCCTGTTTAACTGTTTACAAGTCAGAACTGAAAATAATGCTATTAAATCTTGCTGCTATAATATTTCATGGCGTAAAAGCTATCTTGTTTCCTTTATTTCTAATAGGTACATGGCTCCTGAAGTTCTAGATGATTCCATAAATATGAAACACTTTGAGTCATTCAAGCGAGCTGACATCTATGCAATGGGCTTAGTATTTTGGGAAATAGCTCGGCGATGTTCAATTGGTGGTACGTAACAGTCATCTTTTATAGTGAGCATATTAAAGTACTGTGGTTGGTTTACAGAATTTGAAGTTTTGAGTGATTATTGAGTAAATATTTTCCATTGTTTTTAAGCTATTTATCTCCTGCTTATATCAACTGGTGTAGTATTTGTTCCTGTCATATATTTTTTTTTGAATCCCATAAATGATGGTCAGATTCTGCCCATTGGATGTAAGTAGATGAAATATGTCACTGCCTACAGTAGAGACAAACTTGTCCCCAGAGCTCTTAAGGGAAGAGTGAAAAGCTGATGCTCTTGAAAGTAAGGGACTGCATGCACAGGTAAGAACTAGACACAGTGCATGTAGGCAATGTGAAGTACCTTATTTAAAGATTAGCATGCTGTTATAAGCCATCCACTTGTATAGATATATGGAGGAACAGATGTGCAGTTCCCATTTTTCCTAAGCAAATAAAATCCAAAATGGAAAATTCTTCCCTGGTTATAATTGTCAAAGAATTAAACTCCCAAGTGTGAATCCCTCAATATAAGGTTAAAGCACCACCTGTTGTACTTTCAAAAGGATTGTCTTTTCAAATAAAATTTTACAATAAAAACAGAAAGATGGGGCTTCTTTAGAGGCGGTGACAATGATTTTATTTCTGTTCATGTTGTTTTAACTAAAGTCATATTGCTGTTTTTTATTTTCAGTCTACAAGTTGCTACTTTTTATTTCTTATCTTTGAATAATTGAAGTCATGTGGTAAAGTCTCATTATACACAGAATAAAAAGGTACTAGATAAATTAAACTATTTAAATAAATTCATGAATATTTTTATCTGTCTCATGACTAGTGAAACACCTGGATTTTTTGGCTCAAATGCACATGGCCACATTTCTCATAAAGCAGTAAACTTACTAGTAAATGTTACAGAACTCTCTGAATAGAGGCACTAAAATATGAAATTAGGGTTTTTTCCCCCAGTCAGCATGGGGGGGTAGAACCTTGTCTTACATTTGCATACAAGGCAACCTCATTAAATACATGATCTATCATTAAACTGCTGCCAAAAGCAGCATTTTGTCAGCAATGGAAACCAACTGTGAAGCTGATTAAATGCAGTCAACAATGAGTGTGACTATAAAACATGTGGACCGTATTGGGCAAACAGTGATGGGAACCTTTTTTTGTGTATATGTGGCCCTGTATGAGGAGGTGTTCCCTCTGGAGGGAGCTGGCGCCAGACCTGGATGTCCTGAAATACCAAGCCAGCACCAGGAGGGCCAGAGCCAGCCCTGACACCCTCCCCTTTTTTGCCAAAAATGTAATTTATTAGAAAATATTAAAATTCAAATGACAAAGTTCAAAGCACAAGGAAACAGAAAGAGCTGAGCAGGTGCCTGGATGGGGGTAGGGGTGGGAATGCAATGAAGTTACATATGAAGCGTGCAGCCAACTAAGCCAAGAGGTGGAGGGGGTGTGACACAAAGTAGAGAATATACAGGAGACCCAGCATAACAATACCACATTGTAACAGGGAGATGGTTTGGAAAATGCCTACAGTTACAAGTAACATATGGAATACAGTTATGGGGGTGGGGAAGAGTCCAGAATTAAAACTCCTTGGGGGTGATTTGGTGCAATGGCGGGGAGCAGAGGGGGGCAGATGGTCCCTTCTGCTTTGCTTTTAGTTGATAGTTGGGTGGAGTCCACATACTGGCATTGTCACATAACATGTTCTACATAGATGTCCCTCAACCGTTGGATGGTGTTGGACACCATGAGGTGCTGCATCAGCTTGGTGTAGTGGCGAGATAAGCATCAGGTGCACAGGATGCTCTCGTTAGGGTCCAGTGCTCCAAGTGCCCTGATGATCAGTGCCTCAACCGTCATCTCGTATACCCAGCTCCTCAAGGTGTCTGCTGGCAGCTGCTACTTCTCTTGCTTCTGTTTTTGGGCCTTAACTAAAGCTTGCTGCCAGTTCTTGGAACAGAATAGTGACATCTACCATCATGACACACTTGCTGTCCTTGTCAGTCACAACAATGTCCAGGCATAGCTGGCTCTCATAGCCTGTGACAGTGTGTTTTAACAGACACAGTCCCTGCTGAGGCCAGGATGGCTCTGGCTAGTTGGTCCTGGACAGCATTGTGACACAGCTGTCACAGTCTGGGTGTGGGGCATGTAGGTGCACAGAATGTGGGGGAGGGATCTCTGCCTCGTAGCCGCATGGTCAGCACCCCCTGTCATGGTTCCTGTACCAGGCAGCACCGTTGAACAGCAAGCACTCGAGGTGGGCATGGTGGATGAAGCACCGGTCTGTGTACCACATGAAGCTCCCACTGAACATGAAGCAGTTGTTTGCATCCTGTTTTGAGGTGAACTTGAAGACCTTGTCCTGGCCAGGTTTTGCCCTCAGGTCGCTGGCATACTTCACTCAGGTGGCATCCTTTAGGAACCTCTCCAAGAAGGTCCTCATATGCAGGGTCACAGTGACAAAGCTAGTGTTGGGGGGCTAGGAGCAGCAAGACTCCCAGCTGCTGCTACTCCTTGGTCCAAGTCCAGTTGCAGCTAATGTGATTCCTGAGGTGGCATGTGGTGTTATGGGCTTAACTCCACAGCAAAGTGAAGTTCCTGCTGTCTCAGCTAAACTCTTCTTCCAGTGAGCTGCTCAGGAAGGTGGCCAAGTCATGTACAGTGGGCTGTCTTGTGATCCTTTTGTGGGTGGTCTTCAGGGTGCTGGCAGCTATGCTGCTCACCTGGGCAGGGCAAGAGGCAGAAGGCATGGGTGACCACTGCAGAGTCACAGGTCACCCATGTGGGCATGTTGGTGCTTCCCTGCCAGTAGGGGTCATGCAGGATCTCATTGCTGGCCCACAGCAGGAGGTGCAGCCACTTCTTTAGCAGCTTTCAGATCTTAGCATCCAACTTCTTCAGGGATGCTTTGGGAACCACTGAGCCCCTCAGGATTAATGCAATGCAGGGGATAAGGAAAGTGTTTACCACATCTATTTTGTGCCAGGGGGCCAGCAGGGAAGAATCCAGTTTGTGAGCATCCTGCATGATCCCACAAATGGTCTCCTCCAGCTTCACCCGGTGTCTGATGGGCATCCCCAGGTAGACATAGCTCTCTCCATCTCTCGGGTACCTCATTTGCTTGCCCTGGATGGTGATAGTGCAGTCCAGGATGGCACTTGTCTTCCTGTAATTGACTTGGCAGTACTGAAGCAGAGCCCCATCCGCTTGGATCCCTTGGAGCTGATGTCCAACATCCTCTGCAGCTGCTTGGTATCGCTGTTAAGGAGAAATGGGTCATCCGCATAGGCCAAGATGCTCAGCTTATCCCTGTAGAGGTTGAGTCTGCTGGGGCCTCCTGCCACTGCTTAGAGAAACGGCTCCATTACCAGGCTGAACACAATGGTGCTGAGTGGGCAATGCTGCTTCACTCCAGACTGGATGGGGATGTCATGCTTCTCGCCCTCTGGTGACCAGAAGTTGGTGGTGCAGCTGTCATGGAGCTTCCACACAAAATGAATGGTCCCATCCAGCATCCTGAGCATCTGGAGGGTGTTGAAGATGTGACAGTGGGGCATGGGGCCAAAGGCTTTGGAGGTGTCTAGCCATATCACTGCACACTGCTTTCTGGCCCTCTGAGTGTCATCCAGCATAATCTGGAGTGTGAAGTTGTATTCATAGCAGCCCTTGTTTGACAGGAAGGGCCTCTGGCTCAGGCTGATGGCCTTCTTGCTCACTGCCCAGCTGGTGATCTGGGCCACAAAGCAGCTGGCATAGAGCTTACAGATTGTGGAGCACAGGGCCATGTGCCTCCAGTTGCTCAGGTCGTTCAGCTCACCCAGTTGTGTATGAATTCCGCCATTCCCTTCTTCCAGGAGCTGGGCAGGCAGCTGAACTCCCCTACACTAGTTAAAGAGCAGCATCGGGTTAAGGCAACCTGGGTCTCTTCTTCAATAGGCTGTACCTAATGCCATCTTTGCCAGGTGCAGTGTCCCTGGTCTTGCTCACATGGGCCTCCACTTCCTTGGATGTGTAGTCTGCCTCGAATCTCTCCGCAGAGCCGACAGGAGTCAGGGGTCCAATGGATGCAGGGCTTGGGGCAACGGTTTCTGTCTGGGGGTTGAAGATGCAATTGAATGAATACACCATTGAAGTAGGTGAACAGGGTCTCTCAAGGGGTCTGGCAGAATGCTGAGGATCCCTCCAGGATCTCCCACTTTGCCTTGGGGTGGTTGACCTGGTACAGCTTCTGGATCCTGGAAGCTGTCTCCAGGTCACAGCACTGAGGACATCTTCTTGGGCAGTCCTGGCTGCCAGGCTGCTGCTTCCCTGGGGTTGCCAGGGTCGAGCAGCTGCTGACAGCTCTTCAGTGAGCTGGGTCACTGAGGCTTCCAATGCCTCAAAGGTGGTGGCCTTGGAGAGCTCTTCCATTCAGGTGGCTTATTTCATAGATTTCATAGACATTAGGGCTGGAAGAGACCTCAGAAGATTGAGTCCAGCCCCCCGCCCAAAGGGCAGGAAGTCAGCTGGGGTCATAGGATCCCAGCAAGATTAGCATCCAATTTACTCTTAAAGGTGTTCAATGTAGGTGCTTGAACCACCTCCGATGGCAGGCTGTTCCAGACCTTGGGGGCTCA